ATTGCCAGAGGGCACCAGGTTTTTGCTTCTGTCAATTCCCACCAGTCTATTCCATACTTTATAGGACACGGTCAGTCCATATTTTTTTCTCTTCTTTGCTGTGGTAATCATCCTGTCAAATCTTTGCTCAAGGATGTGACACTGCTGTAGTTCCCAGCCAGACAGATTTGTGTAGAATTGTGCACCACTTCTTTGGATCGATTCAATTGTATGGTTATCTCTCACTATATAATGATCCAACATAGGCTTGCATACTCCAAGACTAGATGACCAAATATTTGGTAAGCTACAACTCTGATATTTTTTGTTGCAAAACCAGAACCCTGTCTGCTTTGGATTGGGAACATATTTTTTGAAGTATGCTTTTTAAGGTGAATCCTCAAGTATGGTTGTGAATACTCCTGCTGAAGAGTTTGATTACAGAACATAAAACTATCTGATGGTGGATCCTCTTTGTTGGTGATGCACATGACCTAGATTTTGTTTTGCATTGAATGCCATCTCTCATTGGCCTGCTGTTTTAGTAACTCCAGAAGATCAGCATGGATTGGTATGAATGAGTATGATCTTGAGATGTTTTTGACACTTAAACTACATAGTCAGCTTCAAAAAGTTTCACTCTGCCTTTCAATTTGTTGGGACAGTTATTTATGTATATCAAGAAGAGTAAAGGCCTGACACAGCACCCTGGCTAACATCAGGAACATCCCTCGGAGAGGATGATATCTCATCACACATCATTCTGTCTTCTGTTGGTATGGAAGTACTGGAGCCTTTTAAATAATTGCCATTAATCTTATAGCAGTGATGTTTGATTAAGATCTTTTCATTAGGAACTTTAGCAAAGGCTTTTGAGAAATCTGGTTTTGCCAGGTGCATAATTTTATCTCTTTCCAGACTAAAGCTATAATCGACAGTCTGTAGAACCTGTGTTCTGGCACATCTTTATCCCAATAACTGCGCTGACTACCTACCGTATTTTGCAAGTGTCCAAATGCTTCATGAGATGACAATGAATAATTGAAGAAAATTGCAAATGACAAATACATCTCAGATATTAGCTTGTCTGGTAAGTAGTTGGTATTTACTGACTCTTGAAAGAGATTTGTTAATATTGGACCCAATTCATCAGCTGTTAACTACAAAATTCAAAGGAGGGATTTCATCTGGAGAAGCTTTAATTGAATTTATTTCTTGCAATACTTTCAAAACACTCTCCCTGCTTATAACGAGGTTTCGTATGTCTGCTAAGTGGTTAGCACCTAAGCGGAGTGTGCATCCTAAATTATTTCTGGTAAAAACAATGGAAAATTCATCACTTGTGCTTCTGCTTTACCTTTAAATTCACGCAGAATTCTATTTGCAATTTTGGTAATTGAAATGTTTACTTTATCTTTTTTGACTTCTGTAATGAATAAACCAGAAGCAGGATGGAAGGCAGGTTTGGCAGGCAATCAGCAGGGGGTAGAATTGAAATGGGACTCTACAGAGCAATTTGATTGAACTTGTCTGAGGGGACATAATGACAGGGGAGTTGGAGAATTGGGATACCATCATGCCAATACTTTGACAGTTTTGCTATCTGAATATCAGTTAAGGACTTCTGAATGAGCTCAAGTGGACTGTGCTGCTCATCTTTGTTTTCAACATTTGCTTCTTTCTTGTCAGTCTTTTGTTCTCATTGAATTTGGTTTAGCATCTTTTGTTTTGCTGGCCACTGTTTACACTCAGTCATAAGAAAGACTCTTTTTATGACAATGAATGTAATCTGACCAGATTCTTACTTCTTATTGGGTTCCATCAAAGTGAGTCTGGGAAACCCAGTCAGATCTTCTGTTAGTTGCCTCTTGACTTTTGGTTGACAACCGTTTGTTTCTGGACCTGTTGTTCTTCTCAAATGAAGGGGTCCCTTTCTGCCCTCTTAAGGAAGTTGAGGTCAAGACATGCATTCAGGTTGACAAGTGAGGAGTGATGATTGCGAGTTGCATACATGTCTTTCAACACATACACTTCTAGCATTGTAGTGTAACTTGTAGCATACTTAGACTCTTCACAGTTATTCCACCTGCACCACATTATATAATTTCTGCGAGATATAATTTCTAATTCCTCAGCTGTGGTATTTTTTCTAATAGGGCAGTGACGTGGTCACTTGCTCAATACTTAAAATTAACATGATGTTGACATAAACAAGTTCTGTGAAAGCTGGGTCATTAGCATCACAAATCTCCCTAGTTATTAAAATAATGCCTTCAAGCCTTTTTCAGGGTTCAGCTAAGATCGAGTTTTCCTGCATCTTCCCAGACAAAATGGATGTTTCCGTCTTTCATAGTATAAAACATCATGCAACTCCTTCTACACAAATTTTTACATAAAGTGCTCAGGTTGCAGTCTTTATAAATTGTCCTGCCGAAATTGCAGTTTGGTTACTGAGCCCCGGTCCTTTTAAATCTTTAATTTCTCCTGACTTTTCTTCTTCTGCTCGACTATTTCACCAGACTTCTCTAAATCTGTTCCTTCCCAACTTCAGCAAATTTTTAGGCCCTCCCAATTCTGAAGCGCAGTAGAAACTAATTCACTGGCTTTTTTTACTGTCCTTTACCATTGTGCCTTGTGGTGCCTATTTTTGATGACACTCATTTTGAGAGATGAGAGTTCTCTTGTACACTCCACTGCCTTGCCTCTCTAATCTTTGCATCATTGTCATAAAGTTATCCCCAATACCCGAGGGATATCTAACAGCACTCCTCGAACCTTCTCTTGCTCTTTCCAGAACTTCCTTTGTTCTTCTATTTTCCCAGCCTGCACTTTTCCCTGTGCCATATACTTGGTGAAGGATTTAATTTTGGAGTGCTGAACTTGCCCTGTTGCTGCTTCCATGCCTGCTGCATCCTCAAACACAGTTCAACTGCTGATTGACTGTCTGTTCTAAAAACAGTAATGTTCTTAAAGCGGCAAATTCATTTCGCTTCAAAGCATCCTCTCTTTTTGAAATTCCTCATGGAATGGCAGGGATTCCTGCATGAAATTTGAATCCACACCATTGCTTCCATGTTATATTTCCCCTAATTGTCACTGCAAGCTCTCCCAGCACATGGCAAAGAATTATTTGAGGTAGTTCACTAGCACCAATCCTCTTTTGTTTTTATTGTGTTTTGGGTCTGTCTCGTGATCAGTGGTAAAGGTTAGGCCACTGATGACCCTAAACAAAAGAGGCACTTGTCTTAGTTCATAAGATTTATTGCATAAGAATCAGCATATTACGTCATGAGACAGGCATAATTACTGTGAATTCTAGAGAGCTATACAGAATATATTTGCTCCCTATGAAGGATACTGTAGAACTTCCTGACTCCTCCCAGAGACAATGTGACATCATCAAATTGGGTGGAACTTATGCAACTTGATAAATAACTCATTCAGAATACTATTTTATACAACATTGCCAGCAAAATGATGAGGGGCACGGATTGAGTGAAAAGCCAAAGTCTTTTTCCCAGCATAAGGGAGTCTAAAACTAGAGGACATAGGTTTAAGGGGAAAGATTTAAAAGGGACTTAAGTGGCAACTTTTTCACACAAAGGGCGGTACATGTATGGAATGAGTTGTCAGAGGAAGCGGTGGAGGCTGGTACAATTACAACATTCAAAAGGCATCTGGATGGGCTTTTGAATAGGAAGGCTTTAGAGGGATATGGGCCAAATGCCGACAAATAGGACTAGATTTATTTAGGATATCTGGTCAGCATGGATGAGTTGGACTAAAGGATCTGTTTCCATACTGTGCAACTCTATGACTCCATGACAAGGCTTAAGAACTCAATGGTGTTAATGACTAGGTAACACTGTTGGATGCAGCTTCTTAATTAAACGAGCTACTAAATCCCAGCCTTAAAGTTACTCCAGTACTTGTAATTAATGTTAGGACAGCTATAAACTTTAGTTACGATTGGACAGGATGTTGGTAAGACCACATCTAGTGTATTGTGTACAGTTTTGGTCTCCTTATTTAAAAAAGGATATATTTGTATTTGGAGCATTTCAGAGAAAGTTCAGTGGACTGATTGCTGGAATGAAGGAACAATGGTTGGACAGGTTGGGCTTATATCCATTGAAATATAAAAGAATGAAAGGTAATGTCATTGAAATACCTAAGACCCCAATGAAACTTGACAAGGTTTATGTTGTGTGAATGCATCCCCAAATTAAACAGACTACAACTACAGCACATAATTTAAAAATAAGGATCTTCCCTTTTAAAATGGAGATTAGGGGAATATTTTTCTGTCAGTGTTGTTTGTCTGTAGAATTCCCTTCCACACAGAGCAGTGGAGGCGGGTTCACTGAATATTTTTAATGCTAAGTTAACTAGATTCTCGATAAACAAGGGAGTCATAATGTATGGAGCGTAGACAGGGAAGTAAAATTAAGACCACTCAGATCAACCACGATCTTATTAAATAGCAGAATAGGTTCAACAGGCCAAAGGCCTACTCCTGCTTCTAATTTGTACATTTTTATGCTAGAACTGGTTAGAGAAGCCAACGCTACCTTATCTTTTCGCCTATTTGTCCTTGCGTGAAAAGGGGGCATGCAATCTGAGCGGGAGAGTTTACACAGGGCTACCAGTTTTCCATTCTCAAAGCCAAGGGGGAGGTTATCACCAGGTTGGCTCTGCATGACTAAGCCAATATGGAGAGTTGGGAAAACCTGGAGGACAGGGTGAAGTGATACTGAATAAAAACTGAAAGAACTGCGGATGCTGTAAATCAGGAACAAAAACAAAGTTGCTGGAAAAGCTCAGCAGGTTTGGCTGAGGGTCACCGGACTTGAAACATTAGCTCTGTTTTTTCCTTCACAGATGCTGCCCAACCTGCTGAGCTTTTCCAGCAACTTTGTTTTTGTTCCTGAAATGATACTGAATTCTGTAAGGTGGGTGAATGGAATGTCTTCTATGCAATCTGACAGAATTTCAAACCTCTTGAAAATAAAGCAACATACCTTGGTATAAATGTGCTCCTCTATTTTATCCTGGATTAACATTTCTTCCAATTGTATGCTCTTGACACGGAGGAAGTTGTGTTCTGCCAGCTCACCGAGCTTTTTAACACAGGCAGTACATATGGAAGGTTGATGCATGCTGGTTTCCATGACCTAAAAAAGGGCAGCAATGAGCACAAAGCAAAACTTTTTTTTTCCATCACCTTCTCAATATGCTGATTCTTACTGGGTCACAGCTCCACAAGCACTAACAGCCTTCTAGTACCTCACACAAATAATTTTTATTCAGTGTATGAAGACTACTGTTAAACAACTTAACCACAGATAGCATTAGGTGAATTGAGATTGACTGTCCTTGACATCAAGACAACATTTGACCAACTATGGTATCAAACAGCTGTAGCTAAACTAGAACCAATGGGAACCAGGAAAGGGTGAGGACGCTGCTGGTTGCAGTTATATCCAGAACGAAGAAATGTGGTTGGAGTTCAATCACCTCAATCCCAGGATACTACTGCAGGAGTTCCTTAGGGCAGTGTCCTAAGCCCAACTAACTTCAGTTGCTTTACAAATGACCTTCTGTCCATCACAAGGTTAGAAGTATATGTTTTGTTCCTCAGAAACTGAAGCAGTCCATGTCCACTTTCAACAAGACCAGATAACAACTGGGCTTGGGCTGATAAGTGGCAAGTAACATTTGTACCACACAAGTGCCAGGCAATGACTATCCAAAGCAACAGAGAATCTAACAACCTCTCATTGATAATCGATGGCATTACTATTGCCAAAACCCCATCCTCACCATCCTTGGTTTACCATTGACCAGAAACTGAACTGCAGCAACCATATAAGTACTGCAACTACAAGAACGGGTCAGAAACTTGGAATACTGCGGTGAATAACTCATTTCCTGCTTCCCCAAAGCCTGTCCATCATTCACAAGACAAAACTAAAAGTGTGATGGAATACATTCCACTTCCTGGATGAGTGCAGCTCCAACTACTCTCATGAAGCTCTAGCTCAAAATACTACTTGATTGGTACTCTATCCAACACCTTCATCATTCACTCTCTTCATCACCAAGTGGTAACTTATCAAGTCTTTATTGACAGCATTTTCCAAACACATGACCTCTACCATCTAGAAGGCCAAGAGCAGCAGACACTGGGAATACCACCATGTGCAAGTTCTCATCCAAGTCACACATCATCCTGACTTGAAATTACTGCTGCTCCTTCACTATCGTTGGCTCAAAGTCTTCATCTCTCTTTCTAACAGCACTATCGGTGTCCCTATAACCAAGGACTGCAGTGTTCAAGAAATCAATTCACTAACACCCTCTCCAGGGCAATTACAAATGGAAAATAAATGCTGCCACATCCCATGAACAACTAAAAATGAAATAATCCAATCCTATAAAGGAACGAGACTCGGAAAGCTAGTGTTTTCAAATAAACCTGTTGGACTACAACTTGCTGTCATGTGATTTTTGACCTAGTACCACCCCAGGCACCTCCACATCAATCCACATCCAACAACAGATACTTTCCAGCAATTTTCAATGGAAAGCAACCAGAATTGTGCATCTTGGCCAAAGAACATTTATTTGCATTGCTATTCATTCACATGTTGTTCTTTTCTATTATGATATAATTTATTTCATGGTTGGGATAAAAAGTAAGAGGTGTTTCACTTTCAAGACCGGAATGTGGTGCAGAATAAATCCAACAACGTGTTTGTGGTAGTTCATGGAGCTATGCCTCCTTACCTTCCTCAATGCTTATGGAGTAGTCACCCACAATTCATATATAATCAATTGTCTCTCTCTAATGGAGAGAGATGCTTTAGGTCTTTTGTAGCCTGAAGCTCCATACGAGAAGTAGACGGTGTGTAGGTGGAAGTTGAGAACCTAAGTACATATCCATCAAATATTGTAACCTAGATACTATGCTGAGTGATATTAGTGACATCAGCTTAATTGTCTGCTATTTTAGGGATGTGGCAACTGACTTGCTTGAAATGGGTTTTAATTTCAGCCAAGATTTAAAACAAGGTAATATCATTGCAAATACTTAATAATTCAAATTATTGAATATTTTCTACAGCTATATTATAAATGGATGGGTTACACATTTGGAATTGCTCTCCCATTAAAAGGATAAAAATTAAGTAATGAAGTGGAGCATATTGCTGTAGAAATTAAAACACAGGCCAGCTACCATCTTTCACCATAATTGGAACGATCAAGCAATGGAATTTTGAAAATTTTAAGAGTTATTTAAGAGTACTTAATTTTGTTTTTTTACATGCACACATCCTTTACGATATAAATTTTGATTTTGCACTTATTTAACAGAAAAACCATTGGCAATGGAATAAATTGAGTTGCACTACCATAACAGAAATTGAATTATCTTTCTTGGTTGTGAAACTGAAGACAATTGATGTTACAGGGGACTGAATTTTATCCCAGGCTTTGAGACCTTAATGTTGAAACAAAATGGGCTTCTAGCCCACACTTGTTGGCATTAATCCAGTACAGCACCCTTTTGGCAGGTATTCTCCTAGTTAGCCATATCCACACAAACTAACTATTAACCGTTCCGTAGCTTTTGCAGCCCCATTAGGAGAGATGATTATGTCACATCTTGAGGAATCTCAGAAACCGCAAGGGTACCTCATCTTGGAGGCACACTTATGAGGCATGGATCTAAATTGAAAATTATTAGATTGAAGCCAATAGGCCATTTGGATTGGAGGGGTGGAGTGCACTGGGAACATTCTGCCAGTGGCAAAATCATGGCACATTCATAAAATAATCCTTAATTGGGACAACAAGCATCTCATTTTAAATTCAGATATTTGAGAAAATAAGTTGAGACTCAAGACTCATCCCTCACAACTAGCATCTGAAGTGGATTCAAACTCTGACCACAAAGTTGACAATTCATTTTAATAATCCCCTGTGTTCTCTCACTGTCTTTCACAAGTGTTCACTGAAAGTCTTTTCCTTTTGAATGTATTTCATCTACTACTCATATTTCATCTTCCTTCCTTACTGTTCCTTCTCTATCCCCAAGCCTCTTTCAATGAGTTTTCCCAATTTCACTGTAAACTATAAAACCACTTCATAAGACTACAATATGAGTTTAGCTGTGTTTCATGTGAGAAACTGACCCCAAAGCACAAACACCTCACATTTTCCTGCTCATGTTTTCTGATGCGGGAGAGATTTGAGGAAGAACTTTTTATGCAGAGTGGTAATGACCTAAACCTATTGCTCAAAAGGATTTTAAAGCAGAGACAATCTATGATTTCAATGGAAATTGAATGGACATCTGAAGGAAATAAACTTGCAGGGCTCCAGGCATAACAATGGGCACTGCAACTGAGCAGTTTGCTCTACAGCTTGCTTAGAACTTATAGGCTTGAATTGTCTGCTTCTGGGTCAGATATGACTCTAAATTTCAATATGGAAATGATACTTCCTTTGTTCTGTGTTATGAAATACTAAACTGACAGACGATGTGTTTTAAGAACAGGTGGGGAGTGCAGGAGATGGGTGGTCACAAAAAACAAGAGCAAAAAAATCAGCCAATTTAGAGCAGGTAATGGTAATGCCAATTTTAGAATACTTTGTGCAGGTTTGAGATCCTACAATAGAAGGAATGAAAAGTTATAGTGTACAGTATAAATTCATCAGAATTATATTGGAGATGAGAAACTATAGATATAAAGAGAAGTTAGAGCGCACTTTCAATGGAACGGAGGAAGATAAAAGGAAAACTAATGGAACATTTTAAAATTATGAAACCTTTGATGTAATGATCAGGAGAAACAGGCTGCAGTTTACTGAAGCCAACGAACAAATGGTGTCTATTGTCTGCATGACTTACATTTGTCCATTTATTTTCCATGAGGTTCTACAGTACAGCTTGCTGTTAGTTGGAAATGTCAATAGCACATGCCCTCTACAGGTCATCTGGGACCTGTACAGAACAAGGTACTATGTAAGATAACAAGGTGTAGAGCTGGATGAACACAGCAGGCCAAGCAGCATCAGAGGAGCAGGAAAGCCGATGTTTCGGGTCTAGACCCTTCCCCAGAAGGTACTATGTAATTTTTTTTACCCAATTGTTGCCTTCAGTTGCACTTCCTATGTCCTGACTTAGCGTGATTTGTTCAGTCAGTCGGCTATGTAATGCCCAGTAACATCTTTAAGCACAGAATCCAGACAATGTGTGCATTTGTAGGAGGATTGTGGAGAGCAGACTGACACTTGGAGTTGAGGTGAAGGTGAGATCAGCCACAATCATGTCAAATAACAGTGCAGGCTCGAGTGGCTAGATTGCCTACGCCTGCTCCTATTTCTTATGTCTAATATTATAACCATATAAATAGAGTCATAAATAAACTTCAAGATATCTGTCTTCGTAAGAACACACGTCTCTTTGGTATGTGTTACAGAAACCAAAATACATTTAAAAATACAGCAAATGACATCAATTCCAATCACGTTTTCCCCCAATTCCCACTTAATTCAATTTTGCTAAGGAATTCAATGGCTGTTTTGATGTCATGGGCAACCAGTCAGTTCACCTCTAGGGCTCAAATTTTTGTCCATTTTCAGGCCAAACATAAACTGAGCATCAGTTAACAGATTATTGATGAGCAAATGTCATTTATTAGCACTGTCAACAACATAGTGACAGAATGTTATCAACTGAAAATTGTCTCTAAAACAATCAGATATCAGAAAATTTTTCTCTATGCATTTAGAGTATGGAGTTCTATGTCACAGAATGTATTTGAGGCAGTAACACATTGAAATCTTTAAAAGAAACATGGATAGATATACGAATGAGGGAAAAAGCTATGGTTAGAGAAAAAGATAGTTGGTTCAGCTTTGGATTACTTTGGCAAAATGCTGGCAAAAACATGAAGGGTTGCATATCCTCACTTTGTGCTACAAAATCTAATTTTACATTGATTTATGATCTTGTAAAATGCTTTATCCCGCGAAAAGGACAATGGATAACTGGAATGCAGATCATTGAGGTTCTGAGTGTAATGTTCTTTTTTCACTTCATCCAGTTTTTTTCCAACATTTTGTGATTTACACTGAACATTGAGTTGTTCCTCTAGACACATAA